TCTTCAATCGGAATATTCAGTGATTTTAAAATCAAATCCATCTTCGTATCGAGCGACGCAATAGAGGCGCGTTTAGCTATCGCCAACTCAACATCTGCCAACTGTGAAGTCAGCGCTGAAAGTTTAGCACCGGTGATAGCCGGGCGCGTCGATCTCTGAGCGCAGCATTCAGCACAGCTGAAAAGGAAGTGGACGCTGGATGATAGCATTTTGTACTGGTCAGCTTGTAGGTCGTTACAGCTTTGGTGATACCAGCGGCAGCAGACGACACACTGCATACCGCCAGATAAATCTGTAACTGGCTCTGAACAGTTAACCAGTCTGCAAGCAGCAGTAGACTCATCAACCGAGGACCCCGTGGGTCCATCCGTCTCGGCGTTTAGGGAGACAGCCATGTTCATGTGGAAAACGGAGTAGAATCACAACCCGTATATAATAGAAAAACGACTGCAATAAAAAGGCAAAACTGGGTGCAAAACGGGGTCAAAACCGGGAACAACCGGAAAAATTACCAGTAAGCGCCAAAGAAGCTTTGACCAGAACCGCTTTAATCGATCCAAGATCCCTGCTAGCACAGAAAAGACTTTGAAGGCGAAAATGGGTGGTAAAGTCCTTAACCGTGAGCTATAAACCTGAATCCATGGCGACCATTTGGAAGGCAAAATTGGTCCTTCCACTGCAACTGAATTAAGTACATAGTGAAGGACTTTACGCCTTGTCCAATCAGAAACCTCGGTTAAACAGTGGATGACAAACACATCGGCGGAGCATGGTCATTGACGGTTGGCCTTGGGCGGCGTAGCCCAATAGCCGTGCACGCACCACGACGATACGTACGCACGACGCAACGCACCTAGGCGGTACCCCAGTACGCCGCACCTAGCCGCTACCCCTGTACGTCCCACGTAGCGGCTATCTACTCAAGATCGCACACCGCTGGATGGGGACCTGAATTTCCTACCTGCGCTGCCCGTTATAATACTGTGTAACGCAGGTATCAATGCCGCTTGGTGATGCAATGGAAACGTCCGAGTCATAGCTAACCGCCCATGTGACATATTTTCGCATGCGCGTAACAAACTGAATGACAACCGAAAGCTTGGTATCATGGTGCACATCCTGTTGCTAGTGAATGGAGAAAACCATGCTTGACACGGCGCACAGGTTGTAGTCTTACTACTCGTAGTGCTGCCTCAGTATTTCCGTCCCACTAAGCACACATATAGATGGAGTGCAACCCGAAGATTTCACAGTAAGTTCGTTTATTGACGCATAGCAGTGAATACATTAAATAGAAAGACATCAAGTTCAAGTTCAAGTAGAACTGGAACGATAGGATGAATCCCGTAAGTGTTCATCCTTGAGCGGGTCGTTGATCCAGGAGTTGATAGGGTGCTCCGACTTTTTGATGGGTCTAAAAGGAAAACACCCGAAAAACACCCTGGTCCACTAATTTAATGCCCACGTTCCTTACATTAGCTGTCCCAGCTACGTCAGTTAATTAAAGTAAGTAAGAGCGGAAGAAAAAGCGAAGGTAAGCTAGTAGGGGAAATCAGTTTAAAAGAAAAGAATAATACCATTAGCGCGGAAAAGTAAAAAGCGAATGGAAGTATGAAGATGGGAATTAGTCAGGAAAAGGAAAGTTTCCGTGTTACCACCCAAGAGCGCCTAATGGACGCTCAAACCCCTTAACCGTAGCTTCCTGGACAACATGTTCTGCAAGCAGGTTCCAGCGCTCGATGACTCGACGTGCGAACCATGCCTCCGCTCTAACTCGATCGGACCGCGGTTTGTCTAGCTTCATACAATGCCCGCGGAGACCAGATGGGCTAGCAGGACTAAATAGCCAGGACAAATAAGGGCCAACCTTCCCAGTCAAAATACGGCAGGTTAGAATTAGGTCCCCTCTAATCCTTCGATAGCGCATTGACTGCATCCCCAAACTAAGTAGGCGTCCAGGGTACGTTTGCCCTCGTAATCCCTTGACCAAACTAATACCGACACGCAAAACCCTTTCTAGTGCCAATTTGTACCGGACCAGGCATGGTGGACAGGCCTGGACGCAATATTCTAGGTGGGGTCGCACAAACGATGAGAAGAGCTTCACAAACACATCAGCGGTTAGGGTCCCGAAAGAACGACAGGTAAACCACAACATCCGGAACCCTTTACTAGCCGCCTTCTTCCAGTTGTCTCCAGAGTGTAGTGTGGAACAGTGGAAGACAACTAGATCAACCTGATGAGTCACGTGAGAAGTTCACTCCCATCGAGCACATAACTTTTGGAGGAAGCAGGCACTCCGATACGCAGCACTGAACACTTTGCCCGGTTTATGGGCAGATACCACAAGACAGACCATTCCCAGAGTCTGTCCAGAGCCCGCTGAAGAGCCACAGAACCTCCAGGGATATCAACAATATTCCAGAGCTTTAGGTCATCAGCAAATAAGAGCGATGGTACCTCAAGTTCCTCCGGCCAGTCATTCACGCAGACTGAGAAAAGCAGCGGACCTAGGACAGAGCCTTGCGGAACGCCGCTAAGTACAGCTTGTCGAAACGAAAGACTGCTTCCCACACGAATACACTGTTCCCGTCCGTTTAAAAAAACTGACACCCACTGGAGAGCGCGACCAGATATTCCATACGACCACAATTTCAGTGATAGTCGCGAATGGGGGACAGTGTCAAAGGCCTTGGCGAAGTCAATGAACACCACATCCATCGCATGTCCACTGTCTACGGCTTCAGCCCAGCTCTCACGAGCTACCAGCAAGTTTGTCTGACACGAAAATCCTTTGTGAAAACCATGTTGCTCGATGCAAAACAGGTTAAGCCTATTTAAATTGTTCTCTACTGTATCCCGCACTAGTTTTTCAAGTAACTTAACGACCACGCTAGTCAAGCTGACAGGCCTGTAATTAGCCGGTAGGTCTTTGTCACCGCACTTGAAAATCGAGCAGACAACAGCCTCCTTCCATTCGGTAGGCAAGATACAGCTGTTGAGTGACTTCTGAAACACACAAGTCAGAGGTCCACTGAGTGCCACTGCCAATTCGTGCAACAAGTTTGGATGAACAGAATCTGGTCCGGAAGCCTTAGTTGGGTTTACCTCTTACAGCAACCGGAGAACTTGGGACTCAGTCACAGGAATTTCATCCAGACAACAGTCCTCAGAGGCCCTTGAAGCTAACTCTGCATGGAGTATTTGTTTCGCGGACACAGATGCTTGAGTACTGCTCACCAAGCACACACGCCTTGTCGTAGTCGCTATAGGCATGGGTCCCATCTCCTCGAAACAATGGTGGTATGGGCGAGTTTGCACCACAGCGTCGTTTAACGTAAGTGAAGAATTTCTTAGAATTTTTCGAGGCAGTATCAGCTAAGCCCTTTTCATACTGAAGCCGGGCCAACCTAAGATGTAGCTTGCACTCGCTTCGTACCAACTGATACTTGTCAAACTTGCTGTTCGACGTTGTTCCGCACGCTCGAAAACATTTAGACCGCTTCTTTAGCAGGCCCTTCCCCGCGGAATCTATCCACGGAGGCTGCGCTCTCGATTCCCTTCTTTGTACCAGTGGGATGTGAGGTGCAGAAATGTGTACGAGGTGAGCCTTAAGCTTTTCCCAGGCTATGTGAACACTGTCGGTCTCAGATATCACACAAGGGGATGACCTAGCTTTATCCCGCATCGCTTGGAAGTCCGCGGCTTAAATGTTCGGATACCAACTGGTAGTAGCTTGGCAAGACCTGATAAGAGCACACTGGAAAGACAAGCACACGTGCTCGTTAGCGCAAAGAGGCGAGTCGTATTTAATGTCGTTTACAAAGTCAAGCGACTTAGCAAAAACAAGATCTAAAATAGACGGCTTCTGATTGTTCGTGTACCTAGTGGGGAGGTCCACGAAGTGGTGTAGTGGTACCTGCAGCGTCAAGTCCAGCGGTTCTGTACCGAACAATTCCAGAGTCGAACTGCTAGATAGATCATGCCAACAAACCACTAGGAGGTTGAGGTCTCTAAGCACCAGACACTTGTTCGCAGAGTGAGTACGTATAAACTCAATGATTCCATTTGAGGTGCTGATAGGGTTTCTATACACTAACTCAACCGTAAGCTGAACCGAGGAAGCGCAAATCAAGACTGCGATAGCTTCAACCGATTTGTCGAGAGACTGAAATCGCTGGTCCTCATTAAGTCGATATGATAACTCACATGAAGGGCTACACCACCACTTTGACTACCAGTGGAGCGGTCAGCGTTGAACAGTGCGTAGCCAGGCAGGTATACTTCACCATCTGTGATTTCCTCAGACAACCACGTTTCAGTGAATGCAAGTTTATCTGGACGAGATTTGTCTACGAGCAGACCCACCTCGCGCATCTTGTTCCTCAGGCTAAGCACGTTACTAAGTACTACTTGGAGGGCTTCGGCACGACCAGCCCTGGGTAGTGCGCTAGTAGTATAGGTTCTGGCAGAGCGGAAAAGGACCGCCGGTTGACCACCTGAAAATCCACCAATCGGAGACCTTGCACGCCAGCTGCACGCTGGGCTTTTAGGTCTCTGCTGGCTTCCTTTAACTTTAACCTATCCGCTAACGGAAGGTCTGGTTGCACGCTAACGTTGGTACCTTTGCGCTTGAAGGCAAATCTCAGTAAGGCCCTGCGCTCTTCTGGGGTGGAGAGGACCTCCCTAAGTAGACAGGGTCGAGTATTTGGTTGACCAACCCGAACGTTCCGCAATCTGATGAGCTTCCTGAGGGTAACGCCAGGGAAACCTTGTGGTAAAAGCCTAGTCACGCAAACTTTAAGCCAACCAAGATCATGAAGCATGCGCTCGGTTAGAAGAGCGGCAGTGGATTTAGTGACGTTTCTGAAAATCACACTGCTAGCTGTGTAAGACTCGCCTCGACGAGGTGTATTTACACCACATACTCTACTATTTATGCTACATGGTTGTTTGACAGGAATCGGTGGGACCGAAGGCGACGGCACTTCTTTTCTCACTTAGGGAACTGCCACACCAGGTGGTGTTTCCAACTCAGGCGCTTGTTTCTTGAGCCTTTTTTCAACTTCCGGTTTGGGGACGGACGGTTTGCGCGCTTTCCTTGCCCTCTTACGCTTATTCTTCAATGGCCCAGGAGCCCGAGACTCGCCTTCCATTTGAGGCGGGTCAGCAATGCCGTCCGAGGCATCTGTGTCAGTTATATCCAAGTGAACTGGAGCGTCCGGTAGGATGAACCCCTCGTCAACGGTTGAACTGACAACAGAAGGACAGTCCGTTACAGCGTCCACCATCGCAATTTTCAGGGAGTTCATAATCAAATCCACTTTAGAGTTGAGCGAGGCAAGTGCGGCAAGCTCGGCTAATGCCTTCTCGACAACTGTGTATTTGGACGCTAGTGCTTTGAATTCAGCACAGGTGAAAGTCGGGAGCTTCGCTTTCAGAGCTCAACAATCAGCACATCTAGACAGAAGGCTTTCCCTGGATGATAGCATCTTGTACTGATTCGCTCGGAGGCCGGTACAACTTTTGTGATACCAACGAGAGCAAACATCACACTGCATACCACCAGGTGAATCCGTGACTGTCCTTGAACAGGCTGAATTACTGCAAGCTGCATTTGACTCATCAAACGAAGACTCAAGGGGTGCCTCCGCCTCGCTTTTTCGCGTGACGAACATGCTGAAGTGGAAAACAGAGCAGAATTTAAAAACACGTATACAACCGTAAAACGACCACAATAGAAGGGCAAAACAGGGTGTAAAACAGGATTAAAAAGGAGACAACCGCAAAATTACCGGTAAGCGTCAAGAAGACGCTTTGACCAGTACCACTTTAGTCGATCCAAGATATCTTGGATCAAAGGAAATTTGACAATCGTCAAATTTCGTTTCAATTGTTTATTCAAACACTGTTTTCCACGTTATTTCAACTAAAAATCTCGATCAGTATGGCACGTCAAAAAATCGAGTTACCGCATAGCACTCACAGAGGTCCATGTTCCCTTTGAAACGGTTACGCTTCTTCCATGCTGTCGTCTGGGCAGTCCAAGTCCACCAACTGGAAAAGCTTATTTAAGGAATGTTAATAAGCACTCCACCATTTTATACCTGCTGGCTGTTTGCACAACCTTTGGCAGTGTCACGCCATGCGTTGCCACGAATCGATTTCAAGTATTTCCTGACATTATGTTATGTCATCCGGCGACATATTGCTTGCGGAGAATCGTTTTAATCGAGCAGCTATGACAGGGATGAAACGGTAAAGATGCTGCTTACCTTGCATTTCGGTGAATAGCTTTGTTTTCCGGTATCCGTGTTTGCTGCGGGAACCGGAGTAATTGATCGCAGCCATCAATGACCGCGTTAGAAGACGCTGCCTCATGAGGCGTACAGTCTCCGACAACTTGTCTCCATGTACATCTTCCAGATAAGTATGCTGCATGCATCTGTGAGTTATCAAAGCATCCCACCAACTGTTGCCTGTGTCCTGCATCCTGCATTACTATATCGAACGACTGTAGTTCCTCTACCCATGTAATTGGCAAAGGAAGCTGCGTTGCCTGCTGCCTTGGTTGCTCGGCAATGGTCGCAGCCATCTAGCTCATGCAACTCTTCACATACCCCAGTGTTTCCATAAGTTTCTGAACATTACTTGCAAATGTATATCCAGGTTTAGGGATGCAGGAAGTTACCATCTTTGGACTCCAGTTTATTCTTCAGTTGGTCCATATCGCATGCAGGAAAATGGTAAAACCTCAAGCACATGCTTACGGTGAATGCCATTCCAAACGCTTGGAGGAACGGTGATGGGAGTCAGAGGTAGGCTGTAGGACTAGGACACTCAAGCCACAAAGCGTAAGTACCAACCCGAGTTCGTTTCCCGAATCTGTGGGCTCGAATTTTCACCACAGTGAGGAGGTATTAAACGCTGAAATTTAAGATTAAGAAAAATGTACCCCTTAACTGTATAAGCTGGTTTGTATCTACCCATGTTGTACTGCTGGAAAGAGGACTGACGTGGGTTTTTACCTATCGAGCGGGCCAACTCAGTTAAAGAACAGATAGGTGGGCAGCGATAAAGAACGGCTGTGGGAACCATGCGCGTCCTGGATGGCTCAAAGTCGTCGTCGTCGTCCGAAATCAATCGACGTGGTATACGGCTGTGATGAAATGTTATATATATGTGGCAACTCACATGAGTCTACGTGGGGGTGTGCCCATGTCGACTGTTGAATCCGTGTCTTCGGGTAGGTTCGAAAGGTCGACGAAGTTGGCTATTGCAGCAGCTTGGTCGAAATCCACTGAAGACTTATGACAGCACAGAACTTACTGGTTCGCCGAAGTATAGTCACGTGGGCGAACGTGCAGTCCCCGTCCGCCGGCCAATGTTCCCTCATAGCGTTTAGGTATTCCGAAGGGGAGAAGGTTGATAACAACGCTCGGCGACCGTCCCCAAGCAGCCAAGATCTGCTTACGGTTGTAACTGTGGATCCGGTGGACGTACTCAAGGAAACAACGCAATATGTTAATGAGGCCATAACGCTGAAATAGATGACTTATGCAAGTTCGTTTGCCCAACCACCGGTTATGAGAAAAATGTGATGTCAATGAAAAGGTTACTAAATAAAAGTGTCTGTACAAACCCCCACTCCGCAACACTCGTGCTGTCTGCTGAATGTGTATGCGGTTGAAGGCCTCGCCACTGAAAATCTGTCAACAGGTTTCAAGTTCAAGTGCATGTTACCTGCGTCGGTGCTGGCAGTGACCATTCCATGTTGTTCATATTGTCTTACATTTATCGTCTAGTGATTACCTACGCAGATCTTCGCCAGTAACGGTGCATCCAGCGCCCTGTGGTTTGCCATTCCGCTGCACATAGATGCATTCACTCTGTTAACAGCCCTTCTTATGCCTATCGGCCGAATACAGTTACGATCTTGTACACCGTTCCAACGTTGTTGCGCGTCGCATCACCCACGCTTGCCCAAAACAGTCATGTAATGGTCATGGTCATGGTAATGGCGACGTACATTAAAGAAACCTGGATGAGTTGTAGTGGTTGTGATTACACGGCAATTTATCTTTATGTTTATCATTTCCGTTACCCATCATTTTGCACCATTGGTTTAGATTCACAAATTTTGAATACAACAACTTCTACGCGCTCGCGTCGTGCTGTTTTCGGTTTCGCTGCTGCTTGTGCTTGTGCTGCTGCCACCTCTATCCAGTACTCGGATTATATGTTAGAATCTCTAGTCGGCATCGGACTAACATCGATTAAAGAAGGACCTATAACGCAAGTGCATTGATATTTCCTCTATTTTGTGTTTTCGCCTACGACTGCATTTTGCCCCAGCACTAGAACTCAATAGATAACGGTCCTCTACATAATTGGTGACCCCGTATTTTTTGAATACCTTGTTTTTTCTTCATTAGGTATGCTCAACCTTCTTGTGAACAGTTATCTAAAACTTCCGTTGCATTTTCTTTGCCATCCTTCGATGTGTCGAACTCACGTGTTTGGTTTATTTAAGTTGTATCTATCTTTCGTTTCCTTAAGATTACCTTGCAGTCTACAATGTTTTCATACGTTACCGCCCATTTACCTACACTAGTGGCTTCAGAGATCATTGATATCCTCGACCCTATGCCGACTGACTCACCTTATGGTATGCTTAAGGCAGCCATCTTAAAACGCACTACCTCATCCGACGAGTCACGCCCCCAACAGCTACCCTCCGGCGTCGAGCTTGGTGATCGTACACCGTCTCAGCTCCTGCAACATATGCGATCACTTGTCGGTTCAGCAACCTTGGATGGTTCCATCCTTCGCCAACTCTGGCTTAAGTGTCTTCCAGCAACCACGACGGCAATGCTAGCTGTTTTTTTTGCTGAGGACATTCCACTGAATAAGCTGGCGGGAGCGGCCGACAAGGAACACGAATACTTCCTTAAAAGCGCTGTGAATCATGTGGTTGATGCGTCCATGACAAGCACTTCAGAGACTTCCACACTCGACCCCATTAGCGAGAGCCTCTCAAAGTTAGAACTCAGCATTTCCCACCTTAGCCGCGCTCGAACACCGTACCAAAATCCTCTTCCACAAGCAGGCCCCGCAGCAACTCCCGCAAACGATCATCGCACTCCTATTGCTTCTACCACAACCGGTTTGGTAACGCTGCACGAAACTGCCGCCCAAGGTGCACTCACTCAAAGGCTTTCGCTACTTCCAAATCGGGAAACCTCTAAGCCAACCAGTAATGGCGACGGCTGCAGCTGGCCAACTTATCAGTCGCCCCCTGGACGTATTTAATTCCACGATTAAACTTCACTTTTTGTCAGATACGGGCGCAGCAATCAGCCTTATACCAAGCGCTTTGGAAAAACGCCCTCTGCAACAAGCCGGACTTACGTTACAGGCGGCTAATCAGACTAAGATCGCGACATCCAGCCAGAAGCTGTTGCACCTAAACCTTGGTTTACGACGCGTATTTCCCTTTATCTTCACCCTTGCAGACGTCTAGAAACCCATAATTGGCATGGAATTTCTTAGCAAATTCGGCCTCGTCGTCGACCTACGTTTCAGGAAGTTGGGATGACAGCACTTCGCTCACTGTCCCTTGCCAACTCGCTCCAGTCACTTCCATCGGACTTCGCGTACGCATGCCAGACACTACGCCGTATTCACCATTGCTTCAGCAATTCCTGGCCTTGGTCCATTCTAATACCGACTCTACCGAGCCCAAACACGAGGTTCGTCACCATATCGTCACCACAGGTCCACCCGTGTCAGCCAAACCGAGCCGTCTTCCACCTGACCAACTCCAAGCGACTAAACGTGAATTCGAGCACATGCTCAACCTCGGCATCATTCGCCCATCCAGTAGTTGTTGGGCCTCCCTGCTTCATCTGGTAGCCAAAAAGTCCGATGATGGGCGTCCATGCAATGATGGCCGGGCACTTAACGCCGTTACCATTCCTGACCGGTGCCCTATCCCTCATATTCATGCTTTTTCATTAGGATTGTCTGGGAAATCTATCTTTTATAAGATTGACCTTGTCAGGGCGTATCACCAAATTCCTATCGCCCCGGAAGATATTGCAAAAACGGCAGTGACCATCCTTTTGGCTTGTATGAGTTTCTTCGTATGCCTTTCGGTCTCCGAAATGCCGCGCAATCGTTCCAACACTTCATGGACCAATTTCTCCGTGAACTTGACTTTGTCGTTGTTTACATTGATGACGCTTTAGTAGCAAGTAATTCTGCCGACGAACACTTAACATATCTACGAACACTTTTCGAACGTTTCGCA